CCAATTGGACCATCATTTTTTATTATGTTTTTTTTGTGTTGTACTCCCAACAAAAAAATTCAAAAATAAGTAAAGGGGCTTGGTATTTTTTTTCCCTATATCTTTTGTTGTTGCATTTAGAAAAAAACCAAAATAAATTATTATTTCTTTCCTTTCCTAATTTTCAATTTGACTTTTACAAAATATATGAAAAAATTGAAAATGAGAGTAAGAAGCTTTTCATTTATAAAAAAAACACTATCCTCCTAAGAAAATTTTCTTTGTATTTGTCCATTTTATCTTTAAACGAAATATGTTTAGCTTAAATGAGGGTGGATAGCCCTTTTTCAATTCAATTTCCGCACCTTTTCTAAATGGAATTTTCGCTCACGTCAAACATTGAGGATAGAATTGTCTTTTTAACATAAAAAGACATTATTTGGACCAAACCCGGTCAAAATCGGACCTGACCGAGACCGGTCCATTTCAGATATGGTCTTCGGTCCAGTAATTTCTCTTATTTGATTCCAATTCCATCTACGGCTTTCTATTTTTGATTGATGGACCGGTCAAATTATTTTTTAAAAATACGGAGTATATTTTTGTATATAATACTCTGTAATATAATACGGAGTATTACATTTGGAATTTTTTATTATATTTTACTTATGTTACTATAATTTTAAGTCTTATTCAATGTCATGTTTTTGTTTCATCAAAACTTTATTTAGAATAGTCTATTTAAAATAAAATAGCAATTCTAATTAAATTTTCTTTCTTATAGATTTTGTCACAATAATTTAAAGACTAATTCCATGATACTTTTTTTTTTGTCAAAGAAATGTAATTTTTGTGGAAATTTATCAAGCTTCTTTGTCATCGGTATTGTTGACTTGTTCATCCCACATCGGCTATGCAGCCTTATATTGTGCTACTATTTAATAGCTTGGGTACCTCAACCTCTCGAGTTAACTTTTGGGGTTGAATTGGGCACAAGTCTATTGTTTCAACAGGTATTAATTGTACTCCGGTAGTTTTATTGTTGGCCTTTTAATTTATATCCTAATTGCGCTCCACAAATTTTATTATTTTCGGGGTTAAAATTTAACTTCAAAGTCATAAAAAATCTATAAGATTTAAATTTAATTAAAGGCGGTGGAAATAAATTCGGATTGAATTAGGTTGAAGTGGAAGGTTTAGCGGAGAAAGGGCATCCAAACTCTTTTTCGTCAACCATTCGGCGGCTATTGACCACATAAAAATCAAATAAAGTACACAAAATCAAATTTGACTTCCACCGTGTTTTTTTATTCTAATATTTTGGATTCACAAACAAAATAATTACAAAATACACAAATTTATTATTTAAATAATTTATTTTTTATTTTTAAATTATTTGAAACTATTATTTCAACTCGTTACTTTATATATTTAGTAAGTTTGTACTCCCTCCGCCCCCTGTATTTGTCCATATTTGATTTTTGGAACTGTTCATCTAAGCACTTTGACTCATCAAATTCTCTCAATGTGTAAGCTTAAATATAGTCATGTGTGATCTTGTTTGATTTGTCTTAACATATAGATTATTAATATATAATTTTTATAATTTTTTAATATACAAATTACAAGATAAAATGGATTAAAGAAGTGCATTAGATGATGTGCAAATATAAAAATGGACAAATATAGGGGCGGAGAATATATTATGAATGTTTTATTTGTGAGTTTGGCATTAATCTATTGTGGCACACAAGTCAAAGCTAGGTTTTTTAAATAAGAATTCCCGCAAACAAGAACTCCGATCAACCATATTAATTGAAGTAATAAAAAAATTGATATAATAAAGTAAGCATTTTTCCCACCATATCAACTTAGTATTCGTATAATATGTTGAATTCCACCGGCCGGATGATGGAGGAGGAAGTGGTGATCGTCGGCGCGGGCATCGGAGGCCTGGCCGCCGCCGTGGCACTAAAGAGGGTGGGAGTTAAGGCGGTGGTGCTGGAGAGGGCGGCGGAGCTGAGGGCCACCGGGTTGGCGATCGGACTCTTCCCTAATGCGTGGCGTGCCCTCGACGCCATCGGAGTTGCCGATAAGCTCCAGGCTCTCTATGCCCCGGTTGGAAGGTCATTTCTCATCTTTTTCTATGTTATTGTCTCTATTACAAAGTCTGGGTCATACTATTTTTAATCCAATGACGCACAAAAAACCAATACTTCTAACTCCGTTCAAGCCTGGGTAAACTTTCCCATTAATCACCACTAAAAACATTCAAATTATACAAGTTCAATTTTGAAGTTTTTCACTTGAGCTTCTTAAAATCTTAATTAAGGTGAAATTATAACTTTTTTTCTGGATTATTATTTTGATTAATTATTAGTTGATTTGATACTCTGTACACATTTGGATCTTAATCCTATGAATGGAAAATGCTAAAAACCCCTCACTCTTGCTACCAACCATGCCCCCTACATAAACATGTGGTAGGGAGGCAAGAAAATTAAAATTAGAGGGTGTGTGGAAAATGGGTAGAGATAAACATGTGGTGGAAAAGTGAGTGGAGGCAAAGTTGGTAGTAAGGGTGGGGGGTGTGTAGCACGGTCCTCTATGAATTTATGTCATAACATTTGCACATAGTCAAACTCGTTGGAGCAAAATAGGCGAAAGGAAAGACAATTTTTAGCTCTTAATTTTTGGAGTACTTTTCAAGATCCCTACTTTGATTTTTACGAGTCAAATTAGATGAATTATACAGTAAATTTTAATTAAATAAAAATCGTAAATTATTTTAATATAAAATTAATTATATTAGATTTATCTTATTGAGAACTTTCAAAATTTTGATTAATTAGAGTAATATGCAATACAAATGGAGATTAAGTGAAGCTCGAAAATTCAAACAGGATAAAAACACTACGACAGAAATAGTACTCCGTAATACTCCCTCTGTCCACAAATCAACTTCTCGCTCACTATTCATAGGGTCAAACTTTATTCACTTTGTTGGTCTATTTTCGTCACCCATTTGATAAAATAATAGTAATGTCACCTCTAGTTTTGTAGATCTTTTAATATAGTTTTTTAATATGTAATTTTTATTTCCAAATTATACACCATTTTTCATAAAAAATGATTTGAAATAATTTTAGTCAAACATTATAATGTGCAACGAGTAGTTTATTTATGGACAGAGGGATTATCTTTGTTTCAACTCTTCTATGTATCATTGTTGTTAAACTCATATCAGATTGGCTGGTTTGACCTATCGAATCGCGAAGTAGACACATAACCGTTCGGGCCCATAACTTCAAAAATTAGTACATATCCCACCCGAAAAGCCCAAAGCTGGCCTCCATGTCGATTCAATGACCGATCCAAATTTAAAATCATTGTTATATATGGTGTACATTCTTCTTAAAAAAATCATTCTAACATTCTTTCTTTTCATTTCAGTGCATTAATTATCGATGTCAATACCAGAATGACTCAAGAAGTGCGATATGATGCCAATGGGAAAAGGTTTCACCCTCCATCCAACTTGCCATTTCCAATTGGTTTTGTGTGTATTCCATTGCACTTGTTTAAATTAACCAGATATGATGGTTTGTGGTTTCCTTATGTAGAGCCGGACCAAGAGTGGTTCATAGGAAGACCCTTTTGCAAACATTGGCTAGTGAACTAGACTCAGATACAATCCGCTTCTCTTCCGGGATACGCATAATTGAATCTCAAGTTGAGGATGGGCACCACTTTGCAGTTCTCGGGCTCGAGGATGGAACCATTATCAAGGCCAAGGTACTGGTCATTATCATGATTTAAAATTCAATCATAAGATTGGATTTTTGGTTGAATGAACGATTTTTTGATATGATTCAGAGTTTTGTTGACTTAGAAATCATGAGTTTGAAACTAACCCACATTCATTTTAAAAATGTCCACATGCAAGATTCAAACAAATAGACTTTGTTAGTAGTCTAACACTTAAGAGTCGTGTGAAAATATAATACTCGTAACATTACGTGGGGCCTAGAGTTCACAAATTTAAATTACACTATTCTCAAGTTTGAATTTTTAGTTGAATTTCTATCGATTTTTTTTTTCAATTTCTATAGGTGGTGATAGGGTGTGATGGGATCCACTCGGTGGTTGCACGCAACTTGAAGCTGGCTTCTCCAGTGGATTCGGGCCGGTCTGCAGCCCGTGGGCTAGCAATTTATCCAAACGGTCATGGGCTGCCCCATGCTCCCCATCAGTTTGTTGATGTGTCCAGACGGGCCGGACTTGGTCCAATCAATGACAAAGAAATCTATTGGTTCTTTGTTTGCAAAACACCACCTAAAGGTAATTAAAATACTAAGGATCCGTTTGATTTACGGAATTGATATAATTGGAATTGAATTGGAATTGAAATTCCATTGGATTCAATTCTATAGAATTGAATTCTACCAATTCCTATTCATTTTTTACACTATCAATTCTAAATCCACATAATTTTTGTGCTACCAAACATCAGAATTAGAATTGAAGTCATCAATTCCAATTCTATAATTTGAATTCCGTGTACCAAACAGGGCGTAATAGTCTTTCAAATTCTCAATCCCTTTGGGTTCCTATCAATGACAAAGAAATCTGTTGGCCCTATCAATTTAAAAAGTGTTATTTTTTAGGAGAGGAGATTCAAAATGATCCAAGATTGATAACAAGAGAAGTGATGGAGAATTGGGCAAAGGACTTCCCTGAAACGTTCATCGACGCGGTCCGGCACGCTGACATGTCGGCCACGTCATGGGCGTCGCTCATGTTCCGGTACCCGTGGGACGTCATTTTCGGGAAACTCAACACCGAGAACGTTACGGTGCTCGGAGACGCCATGCACCCGACAACACCGGACCTCGGGCAAGGCGGGGGCATGGCCCTCGAGGACGCCGTCGTTCTTGGCTGTCACATTGGAAATGTGACTGGCCCTGATGGGACGCTTACGCCAGAAGGCGTAAGTCGAGCCCTAACGAATTACGTGGAAGAGCGGAGGTGGCGAGCCGCTTGGGTTATCGCAGCATCGTTCGTGTCAGGGTGGGTCCAGCAGGACGGGTCTGGATGGTTCATGAAGTTTCTTAGGGGAGTGTTCTACAAGACTATCATGCCTAAAATTTTCAGTATTGCAGATTATGATTGTGGGAAGTTGCCTAGCAAGAATGAGAGCTTTCATTGATCACCACTCTCCAGTTAAACATAGTTAATAAAATAAACAAAACATACAACCTTTGTTTCCGTATATTTTTTCAACTTGATTTTTTCGAATCAAACTAAATAAATTTTGGGCTTTAAGTATTCTTAATTTGTATTGCATTTTAGTATAATGAAATAAAATTTAAAAATTCTCAACAAGATAAATCTAACAAAGTCATTTTTATACAAATATTCATTATGATTTTTATATAATTGAAGTTCAAAATTTATCTAGCTTGATTCAAAAAATCAAATTGAACAAATATACTAAAATGGTGGGAGTAGTTATGATTACATTTATATCATTTTTGGTTGGGCTCAATTGTTGTAAGGAGTAATTCTTTAATTATTTTTTTGACTGTTTAGATAAATATAGATTGTGGTTTGTTATGAATTTATGATTGGTCCAAGATTTTAATTCATTTCTTAAATGTAGTTGATTTCTTGCACGATTATAGTTTTATAATGTATAAATTTTCAAGTTTCTATTTGGCAACAACTTTAGCATTTCGATTTAACTTTTTTAAAAATTTTATCTGATAACAATATTTAACTTTTCTAATAATCTCTATTTAATACACCTCTCACATCATTTAAAACATCCTTACATAACTCGAGATGCCAGAACACCAAACTAACAGGGAATTTTTCTTTCCTTTTCATTTAAATATATAGTATGTTTATGATATTTGATTGAATTTATTTTTTACTTAATGTATATATTTAAAAATTTGTATGATCTTCAAAAATAAATAACTCCCTTCATCCCTAATTTGATTATAATTTTTTCGGGGCATGTCTCTAGATAACTTTTGTATATTTGTGTGTTTTTTTATTTAATGAAATAAAATATTTTTGTCACTAGACAAATAGGGAGTATGATTTTAAAAAGCAAGTTAATAAATAATAATGAATGTAAACTACACAAATAGACTAGAGAAGTACTTCCTCGGTTTCTTGAAACAATTTCTATTTCTTTTAATTTTTATGTGCAAAATCCCATGTTTCTTTAAATGATTCTATTAAAAAATTCGTATAGAAATAAATAATAAAACTGACATATTTAAAAACTACATAAAAAATTTTACAAAACAAATGATAACAAGAATATTTTATTTTAATTTGTCAAATGACTAATAAACAAACACACGCAAACAAAAGTTATCGTGATGTCTTGAATAGTAAATATGGATGGTTTTAAAAACGGAGGGAGCATGAAAATATTGAGTAGTGAAAACGAAGAAATTATTACCTAATTTATTTCATTAATTTTGCATAATTTTAGTTATAATTCCTACTTTCGTTAAACTTTTATATCGATCTATTTTTAAATTTTATTTTTTATATCTAATTTAAATTTTTTCTAAGGTAAGATTAATCTCTAAAAAAGAAAAATAAATGATGGGGGCAAAGAGTCATTTAAAAAATATGAAAATTTCAAAAAAAAACATAAAATACTAAAATTCATAAAAAATAATCTCAACTTTCTTTGTTGTGTAAAACAAACTATTTCTATAAACCCACCATTAGTAGCATTACGGCAATCCAAAATTTATAAATTTTAGTAAATTTGGAATTATTATGCATCAAATCAAATGCGAGATTATTTATGAAAAGTCTAAAGTAGGAGTAAAACATTAAAAATATATCAAAATAGGAGTTTCTTATTTTTATTTCCAAAATAGAAGTTAAAATAGATTTACAATGTCAATTATGATCATATACATTACCAAAAAAAATTGTGAGATCTCCATATACAGTGTTATATTACCACAGTGCAAATTTCTATTTTAGAGATAAAAATATATGGAGCTCCTAATTTTGTACTTTTTTGTCTAATTTCAGAGGTGGAAGCGAGGGTTGACTCTCACCTTGTGCCCAAGGTTGACAAGTTTTGGTATCTTGACTCGGTTATTCAGGCAGCTAGGGAATTAGACGGGGATGTTGTGTAACATGTTTAATTGGAGCAGCTTAAGCTAAGTGGAGGTTGGCTTCAAGAGTGTTGTGCGATAAGAGAATTTCACTGAAGGTGAAAAGTATATGTAACTTCTACCGATATGTAGTCAAACCAGCTATGCTCTATGGAGCGGATTGTTGGGCGGTGAAAAAGATTCACGTGTGTCATCTGCATGTGGTAGAGATGCGGATGTTGCAATGAATGTGTGGTCAAACAAGGCTGAATAGAATTTCGAACGAGGTTATTCAAGGTCGGTTAGGCATGGCGCCAATGCAAGATAAGCTCCGAGAAGCTAGGTGGTTGAGGTGGTTTGGCCATGTGAGACGACGAAATGCGGACGCTCTAGTGCGGAGATGAGATAGACTGACTTTGGCAGGGGATTGTAAGGAAAATGGTAGACCTAAAAAGACTTGGAATGAGATGATTAGACATGATGTATGACTTCTTACCATTAGTGAGGATGTGATATTAGATAGGAGCGTTTAGAGAGATGTAATTAGAGTATCTAGGTAGGGGTCTTGAGCTAGGAGGTGTTGTTGTTATGTGCCTTGTAAACCTCTTATGTCGGGTGCTTGGCGATAGCCACACCCGCTAAAACACTAAATTCACCCGTAAACTAAATACACCCGGGATACATTATTATGTTATTATTCAAAAAAGTTATATATCTTTATTACATTTAAAAAAATCATAAATAAATGTTTAAAACTATTCATCATTTATATCATTTTATTACTTTTCAAATAAAAAATTATATAAATTTTAGTTTTCATTTTAATTTTAATTTTAAAACTTTGGCGCCTCTTCTTTTAATTTTTTATTAATTAAAATAACTTTTATTGTTAATATATATCAAATTACCATTGATTCTGTACGAAATCTTCTTTTTCTAAGTATTATACCAATATGGATTTCACCATTTTTAAAAGCATTCACCGTTATCCTCTTTTATTTATTTTTAATAAAAACAATGTATATAGATTTTAATAAATGTGAATTATTATTAAATATACAACTTTTATTTTAAAAATGTGTCATATTTAATAATTAAAATATACTTTGTATTTAGTAGAATAAAAAGTTATTATATTAAACTATTATTTTATTACGATTCAAATGAGAGTTTTTATCGAAATCTTAAAATTGCAAAATATTATATACGAGTTCATGGATTAAAATTGAAGAAGTATTAAAAATAATTTTGAAACTAATAGGGTGAATTTAGTGCATGTAGTGAAATTAGTGTTTGGGTGGAATGTGATTATCACCACCCTTTTGCCATTTGATTGTAATACTCTCATTTAGTGACTTCATTTTATTTAGTTTGGTTTACTCTATGTGCTTGCTTGAATTGAGTTGTACATCTGCCTTTTGTATCTATTGTGATCCTTTTTACAAGCATCTTGAGCCGGTTCGCAAAACGAATAAAAATCCCAAATTTTTTCAATCTATTTTATTTAAATATTGGCATAGAAATAAAAAATAAAATATACATATTTAAAAACTACACCAAAAGTTCAACAAAACAAGTGGTGACAAGAATATTTTATTTTATATATAGGCCATGAAAAAACACAAATAAATATAAATTCCCGTGAAGTTGGAATAGTGCTCTGGGAAGATCATTATAGGACGGAAGGAGTATTTCTATATTTTAGGATAGAGACAAGGTCTGCGTACACGCTCTCCAAATCATACTTTGGTGTGATTTAATTGGATTATTGTTATTGTTATTTTTAATATGATTTCTTAAATTATGTTTGAAAGATCAGATAAAATTAAAATTCTTTCAATAAATTTTCCCAATAATAATACGGAGTAACAATAATAATAATAATGTTTATTTGATGTATTAATGAATTAATATTTAAATGGGTCTCCAATAAAAATATTACTCCTACTCGGTCATAATTTTAGGAGCAAGAGTAAAAGAAACCAATGACAGCCAAAACAATGCTAAAGCCCTTTCGAGACCCGCGGAACCAGAAGAAACAAGCCCAGCAAATACTCCTACTCTGTAATATTCTTGCATACTCATAGGCCGGAGACGCAGAATCTTGGAAGGCTGAGCGGCGGCTGTTGACCGGAAAATATGGGATCTGCCGATCATGGAATGGAAGCACTCTTCGACGACAAAAAGCGCGCGAGGAACCCTCTCGTTCCTTTCGGTACAGTTCTCTTCCTCGAAACCCTAGCTATATGTCGGCACATTTCCACGCCTTATTACTGCACACGCAATTCAAGCATTGTTGAACATTTTACTGTCTAGTTTCGTCAGGTGTTGTGGATCTGAGCTCAGTTTGCGATTCTTCCAAAGAGGAATTATGAAACTGAAGAGTTGTTATGTGTGTGTGTGTGTATGTGTATATATATATATATATATATATATATATATATATATATATATATATATATATATATATATATATATATATATATATATATATATTCCACTTTACTATGGCCTGCAGATGTTGTTCTCCTTTTCGGATGAGATTAGGGAATTGAAATCTCCTTGCTCTTCAATATTTAGCTTGATCCTCCCCTTTACTCCCTCACCCAAATCGGATTAACCGACTCATCTCCATTTAGCAGCCATTTTGAGTGTAACTCCCTTCTTAGTTTTTGCTAATAGGAGTGTGACCTCACTATGAGGATTATGATTAAGATCTTAGGGAAGCAATGAAGCTAAAAGAGTTACTATTGGAAAGTTGTAGCTTGATATATAATGAGATAAATCAAAATGCCACCTTAGGCTTCTTTTTCTTCTTACTTTATACGGCCCCTTCTTTTGACAACAAGTATTCATGTCATAATATGACTTTAGCATCTGCGATGCTCTGATTGAAAATTGATGGTCGCTCGCCCTGAACCCTGTGCCCCCTTTCTATCGGAGCACCGTAGGTTCTATTGTCATATTATGACATCAAAAGTTGTTGTCAAAAGACCAAAAGTGCATTTTGGCCTCCTTTTAACTACAAGTATTAATGTCATAATATGAGTATATGACTATAGCATCTACGATGCTCTAATTGAAAAACTGGGTTTCTACCCCCCTAAACCCCTTGCCCTCCTTGCGAACGGAGCACCATAGGTGCTGTTGTCATATTATGACAACACAAGTTGTTGTCAAGAGAACCGGA